GTGATGAAGTTGTCAGCATGCTGATAGCCTCGTGAGGCTGAAAGTTTACAGAATAGTCTAAGGGTATAATAATCCTTATACACAATTGATTAGATACAAGCAGTGGGGTAAAGCATCCCTATCGCTATTTTGTTTATCTATTCATATTCTATTACATTTACAGAATACTAATGTTACATGCCCACCATCCAGACTACAGCCAAAAGCCAGAATAATTGGGACACAAGCAGAAGGAGAGAGAGCCCAAACAAACCCGATTACTAGCAAAACAAATATAAGCCGACCATAGAGAAAAACAACGAGGGAGAAAGAAAAAATTATAGAGAAACAACTAACCCTATAGTGAGAGAAGGGGGAGGGCGAGAGAGGGAGGAAGAGAGAACCAAAACAACCTGTCCAGCACACTTCTTCTGTTCTGGGTACTGAGCCAGTTATAGATTGCTATGCAACGTTTTTACCGCCACTGTACATTAGTAATACTGTCCATAAAAATCCGCATTCTTTATATATTTCCAATGGTTTGGAATGATATTTGGACGGACGTCGGGTAAAATATCAACTGGCGTAAATAACAAATTAGCTCGGGGTATGTAGAGAGACCGGATATTTCCCCCAAAATATATAGCATTATCAAAAAATATCCCCTTTTATGAATACCCTCATGTGTGTGACAGCATTTACCCTGAGATCACCATGCCGTTCTGTCTCCGAGAATAGTTAGATTTGGCAGTCCAGAGAGGTAACAGTCGCCACGTCTTTAGCAGTCTGAAGAGCCATACTTTCTCAAAAGAGTCGATATGCTCTTTAACTAAGAGTTGAGGATGTACGGTAGCTATATATGTGGACGCTGCGCATCTGTACATCCACTTCTACACTTCGTTCTTTAGAAGAGCTAGTTCCTAACTTATCTTTCTTTTCAGAAATTCAAAAATTATTTTGGTACCTAATCCTCCACCATCTGTACAAGCTGAGCCATGCTTTCTCAGGAGAGTTGATGTGCTCCTTAACTGAGACAAGAGCGTAGAGGATGTAAGGTAGCTGTATATGTGGACGCTGCGCATTCCTACAGCCACCCCCTCGCTCTTCAGAAAAGTTAACTTATCCATCTATCCCTTCTCTCCATTTGCAGTTAAACGGTAAAGCTTATGAGATTTAGTCAGTCAAATAAACTCCACCAATACTACTCGAGTACTCGCCATGGCTTTCAAAGCCGACATAACAGTATACTTGATGTGAAAGCCCCCAGTAGCGCAGGCCAATACAAAGGGCACTTGCCCATAAAATGACGCACTCCACATCCCAAATTCTCTATTAGTTCAAACCGGGTAGCATCCAATTCATTTGGGGAATACTATTCCTCTTCTCCTAACATCAGCGCCCCCCTCATCCAGCAGAGAATGTCCGAGCGTGCTCCCTGCCGGGTAGTAGCACCATTGCGCGAATCCATGCGAAAGGTGAGTTGGATGTCTGAAATATGGGCAGAGAGTAATGAGAGGTATGGATGTGAGCTTATGATCTCATCCGAAACTTCAAACTGAGTGGAGTAAGGAGCAGTTGTGCCACATGGTCGATAGATAAAACAGCAGAAAGATCTTCGAATGGTTTGCCGAAGAGCTCGCATAATCCCTGGAAAAAGCTATAATCAAGCGGAGGAGTATTGGGATTTCCGAGACGTCGTTTTTTGAGTGATTCGGTAGACGTTAACCGACAACAAATGTTTGAGGCAAATATGTGTAGTTAGTGCATGCTTTGGGGAAGGCCGTTTTCGAACCTTTACTGATTGTGTCCATCGGATTCAGTAAGTTATCGGTCTTCATCCGCAACTTTGAATAAACTTATTCCACTGAGAGTGTCGACGGGAATGTGGGATTCCTGTCTTGATGAGTTGCTTGAGCACACCACACTAATCGTCTTTGCTATGTCTATTTCTACTGGAAAAGGGGAATAGGGATGGGCAACTATCATGGCGGGTAATGGTGTTGAGGGCGAAGTTTCAAACTTAGGAAGATGAGGGGGAAGTGTAGGGATGGGAGATGGGGGGTTGGAAGCAAAGGCGAACTTCTCAGTTGGCTTGATGGGATAGACATCATCTGTGCTTGTCTGTTGGCTAATAGTCTTCGTTTGGGCGGCTTGTATCCGCCATGATCGCCTTGTTTTATCCTTGACTGTTACTTAAGTTTCTTGATATAAAGTCCAATAGGAATCTAGGTTCAGGCTTGTCTATTAGGTTAGGTGAATATAAGGATGGCATTTGAATGAGTTTGAGGGGTTTGATTCTTCCAAATGCAAGTTCCTCCTTAATTTTCTATGTAGTTTCTTTCTGAGTCTTGTCCATGATAGCTGGGGACCAAGTTGCACGCACCTTCGAGTACATTGGAGAATCATGATAGCCTGTACTAAAGTTCAACACAGCTAAACAACTGAAAACAACCTCAACGGATCTCCATTAATCGTGTAACCAAGGATGTAGTAGAGCCTCCTCCGCTGAATTACTCTCTCTTAACTCTGCCATGAAATCCAACGCTTCTTCATCGTCCTGGATCGTTGAATGATATATCATAATCATCGCATGAAGCATTAGATTATCGATCGATTTGGCATATACTCCGTCCTCGAGTTCCGAAATTGACCAGGCATCCAGAACAAAATCTGGCTTTCCTTCTAAACCTGTATGTTCCAAGTCAATTAGGCGCACATTCCCAGTTCGCTCCTGAATCACTTTCGCATAACGGAGATCACGGTGTACGTAGCCCAATTTATGTAAAAACGCGAGTCCCTTGAGTATGTCTTTGACGGTGTGACGTAGCTGGATAATGTCCCTGATATGCACTGGAAATCCCACGGGTCTAAGATGTAAGGACATGTGGTGTTTTGTGATTTTTGGCACTTCGACAACATTTATGATGTTTCGTGGCTTTTGACTCAATATTGTGTCATATAGGGTAAGCAACTCGGACTGTCTCGCATATTTCCACTGAACGGAATTTTTTTTTTTCACGTACGTGGGGAATAATGTAATCTACCACGACGAAGCGAATTAGATATGCGGGGTTAAGTGGTTTTTAAGATAAAAAAGTCAAGCGGGTTAGGTAGCCAAAACTTACCGTGACGCCTTCCTGCCTCCGAATTGTTGAGAATAAATGTACTGGGCAACTGCTTGGCAACAAGTGCGGAACAGACGGAAAATGTTTATGACAATCTGAAAGAGGTGCATTCGCGCATCCACATGGCCTGCAAAGAATGGCTCAGGGAATAGGGCGATGCATTCTTTGTGGGGCGTCAGTGGAAAAAAGCTAACTTAGTGTTAGCCGGTGTAAACAGTGCAAATGTAAACCAATACGCACTTTATTTTCAATTCCCCAGTGGCATACCCCAGCACGAACGGTAACTCTCCATAGAAGGCAGTGTTCCAATCACCAAACTTGTCGAGGAGCTCTCTGCGTGCTTGATCCAACTCGACTGAGTCCCTTTTCTCTTCCCCCCTAGGAACTAATGCCCCGCCATATAGCAAAGAAAATCAGGTGGTGATTTCTCCTTTACGGTGCCGCTTTTGTAGGAGTCGACTTTATTCCTAATCATCTCCAAGCCCAATGCCCTGCCATACAAGTACCGAGAGAGCACGTAAAACGTGCTTCTGATTATGTTATCCCACAAAAAGTGGAAATCATCTTCCGAATGCTCTGCAGCATCAAAAATGTCTCTATCTGGCAGGACAATAGAACCTAGAACTATTGATAATGCGGGAAACACCGTTGAATCCCAATGAATAATTTGCGGATGTTTATTGCGGGCTTCAGGAGGCAGAGTTGTGTCCAATGTTACGAGTAGAGGCGACTGTAAAAGAGAGGCGACTATAGCAGCATTGGCAGGAGGAATAAAAGTAAATATGGCTCCGTGAGAGAATCACAGAATTTCCGTGTATCATCAAAGGTTGGGGAGTCCGCAAACGTTGATAACGGGAAGTACTTGGCCCAGCCGTGGGACTTTGGGTGGCGGCCTGTGAGCAGTGGCATTCCCCGTTTACCTGATTCCGGATTATTTAGCTTAAAACATTGCATGGTCTTGACGCCAGGAACAGCTCAGCATAAGACATAGACAGGGGAACTTACCTCGTGTTTGCTTCATTTTTTTTTTTTTGAACTCATTACTCGTATGCACAACCTTAAGGGTCGTATGACGAGCCACGCCGGAAACCCGGGTGGATTCAAGGGACAGTCAAGTTAATCTGACGCCCTGTGCGAGCTAAGTAAAACAAAAGCATGGAGGTAAAAAAAAAAATAAAAAAAATCCGCAAATCTCAACTATGCCTATCGCCCGGCGAGGGGACGATACAGGTAGGCAAAGTATGCCTCTACCTCCTCCCCCTCCTCCTCCTCCCCCTCCTCCTCCTCCCCCTCCTCCTCCTCCCCCTCCTCCTCCTCTCCCTCCTCCTTTCTCCAAATTGGTGTGTCTAGTTCCTCCCACGTTCCCGATGAGTTCCTGGCGCTGCTGGCGGTGATGGGGGCAGTCGAACGTGTTTGCTTTAAAGAGTTGATAAGTTTCACGATGGCTCTTGCTGTGCCATCTGCCAGCTTGTAGGGGTCTCCATGAAGGTCTTCTCTAGTCAACTCAAGAAATAGGTCTCCAGGGACTTTGTTACTCCTGATAAGGTGGATGTCGGCCTCATCGAGGACGTCCTCCTTCTTGTTGTCTCAGAAGAATTCTGATACATCCGTGGGGTTCCACGTCTCTGGATCTTTTTTAGCGTAGTTGGGGGTTTTGGGGTGCTGGGGATATCCGAGATGCCGGGGTTGTCAGAGATGCCGAGGGTGTCGAAGATGCCGGAGCTACGAGGGGTAGACATTTAGGAAGCAGAGGAGTTTGAGAGTTTGATATGGGAACTGGGATTGGAGATGATGGGGGCGCTAGCTAAATAGGCTAATCAGCTTATTCAGATTACATGACTGGCTTCACGATTCTGATCACAATATATATTTACAACTTTAGTAATATAAAGTAATGGGTAAGTGGTCTAGGGGTATGATTTCTCATTCGCATGTTGTTCTTTAGGCAATGTAAACTTTGAGAAGGTCCTGGGTTCAATTCCCAGCTTATCCACTCTTTTTTGCCCTTTTTGTTGTAACCTGAGTGAATTACCTAAAAGATTCAGAACCAGACTAAGTCGGGATTGAGGTGGAACAGTGACGTCATCAGCGGGAGATGTGTGCATGCAGTCAAATTTTCCGCGGCGAAGTCTCTACCCAACGATTCTCGAAGGCAGCGTAAACTAGACTCTTTCCTTTCTGGGTGATGTGTTGTGTGGACTAATGCTAAATTTTGGTTAGCGGGAAGGCTCTGGGATTGGGGGAACACAGATATGGAATTGCGATCAAGCCTGGGTGGCATTAATTTAATTAAAGTAGAAGTAAAGAAGCATTTACTACGGGATTCTTGGTCTAGTTTGAGGAATGATTTTCATTACCCTGAAGTGTTCTACGCACGGAATAATCTGTAGTGCAAGCACTCCATGCGATACTGCGAGGGTCATTATGGACTATGTTATACGCAGCATACCTAGTTAATCTATCCTGCGTCTGAGTATAGACATCGCTCAAAATCCCAGGAAAATGCTATTTTCGAGTACCCGATTTCAGGGCGTAAATGACAAGTCTCGAGGAGTAACTGAAGACTAATGCAAACTAAATGTTAATTATTAAGGGTAGCATCTTAGTATTGATTGAGAGATATGAGGTAAAAATGATTCGGCATTATTGGCATTCCCGTGTTCGGAAGGTAGCAAATTCGGCATTCTTGGCCTTCGGCTCTTGTATATATATCTCCCTCTTCCCTCATCTCTTTCACGCGGATCAACCCGTAACAGTCCTTTGATACATTATTCTTGTATTCTCTCTTTTATTCTCTCTTCTGTACCCGGTCCGAATTAGTCATTCAGTTCTTTAAGTACGGCACCATTGCTCGGCCTGCTTCTTCGTGGGCACAGTCACCGAAACTCACTATGACAGCCTCTAGTATGTAGTATGTAATTTAGGAGAGAGTACGAAGATATGCTAACGAAAGTGTTTTCGTTACATCAGAGCTCATTCAACTTGCAGGCCCTATTTCCACAATTACCACTGGTGGCTTTCTTTCTGTCCAAAACTATCTTCATCGCCAGTCAACCAAGGGTGAGACCGAAATAGTCAACGGCTTTAGCATATATCTATTTTGTATATAGTTCGCGTAGGGCGGATAGATCAACTTGTCTCGGGATTCCGGTGTGGCTCGTTATACGACCCTTAAGGTTGTGCACACGGGTACTAAGTTTTTTTTGGCAATGATAACCTGACGCAGGTGGAAATTATTCTTCGGCACGAGATTGGTTGCATGGGTGGGAGAGAAAAGATTTCATCGCTTGAGGCTAAAGAGAATCGCTTGAGAGCAATATAGAGAGGGTTAATCTTAAAACCGAAGTACTCAAGATACAGCTGCGTGGATTGGAGAACGGCAAGGCTATTATTGTGGGATGAAGGACATTTGTCTATGGAGCCTAGCGTCGGTTTGTAACGAATCCATCCGAAGTACACGAGTATCGCTAACATATAGAGATTTTATTTGTCCCATTCTTTATACGGATGGATGTGTATTTGCAATTCGGTTACAATACGGTGTGTTGGGGCTTTTTTCTCTGGATATTTACAGGCGTTGACTTCAGATCGGTACATAGTTTCGAATAAACGAGCCTATTCTACATTTGTATGTTGCTAGATGTTATTTTTCAATGGAATTGTTCTACATTCACGTAGTGTTCTAAAAGTCAGGGGGGGCAGCGCCCTGACGTATATGCAAGGTACTGTGGCGTGAGGGCTGGTGAGAGATAGGGAGGTGGAGGATGCTCAGTGGCTGCTTGACTCGGGAATTCTTAGCGGGATGGAATATGCTCGGTGGTTAATGGAAATGCATATTTGGGGAATCGTGGCTAATGGAAGTGCTTGATTCGGGATGGCATATGCATATCTATCATCTCTTCCTCTCCCTAACTTTGATCACGTTCTTCGTTTCGAATTGATTACTCTTCTCTATTTCCCTCTTCACAGTATGAGTAGTTCGGTTGAATAGCAGGGCTTTCAGCTGCTGGAAATTACTTAGTACTGAATCTGATTTTAATAGGATCATACTGAGGTTAGCTGGCCTCCATTTCGGGTTCCATACTCGTAGAAGACATAAAGTAGGATATCGAAGCTCTCTGTGCCTGATTGTACTGTATATAGGGTTGATATTTTATACTTATTTCAAGGATGTATTTCTGTATATTGCATATGAAATAGGGCTGAGATTACTTCAGTAAAATGTCACTCGAGTCTTGTGTTTGTTATTTGTTGCTTTTTTCTGCTGCTTTTGAGTACGAGATGTATGGAGGCCATAGCTACTATCCGCAGATACACATATATGCTCACTACTTCATTAACTTAGGAGTATAGTTTCTATAGAAGGTCTCGAGATCGCCTGACTAAGGAGACTATACTATGAATGCAGAAATACGTCTTAATTTGGTGATTTATTTGAAAGGTTGGGGGCCTGGATCGGGTATTAGTGCAGGCGGGGGTTTGCAATCACCCGACATCGCTACACACCCCCACTGCAAGGTATCTGAGGTTTGAATCTCTGGGATGAAACTTACCTTGATCATACCTACCGTCACTCAGTCTACGGAGCAAACCTGAACAGAAGGCGATAAACTGTCTCAATTCGTTGCAAGGCTGCATCAGTTCTAGGTCAAGAGAAGCCCGAGGCCGGGAATACCACAAACTTAGCCACTTCATAATATCTACATCCAATCGGCTGCAGCAGTGGTGAGGTGTGACAAAGAGTTTGCAGATTAGCTAGAGGAGGGCGGGGATAGAGGTGCGGGATACAGCTCAGGGTAACTTTTAATTGTGGCATAGTTAAGATTATTGGGGATACGATGCGAATCATCTTTTCAGGAAGAATGGAACAAGATATGATGGATGCTATCGAGATGGACAGTGGAAGATTTATGTGGTAGGTTTTCTTAGCGACCATGTTAGCGCTCAAGGCTGCTACGAATGTGCTTTCGTGTGTTGCGAGTCATAGGCATGCGAGGCTAGAACACTTCTTTTCTTTCTAGTGTCACCTTTCGTTCTTCTGTGGAAATTACATTTTGCAGTGTGTACTCAGTCTAAATTAAAAGTAGAAGTGTGGAGATGACTAGGAGTCGAGTGCCCATTCCCCTGTGTATTCCTCAATGAAACTAGTGAAAACCTAGGTCCCCAGTTTTGCGTCTTGGGAGCTCAAGGATAGTATAGTAAGAACATAGGTATCAGGCTCGAGTCAAGTGCACCATTAACTGACTCTTCACGGCTGCTAACCCACGTGAAGCTTCATCTGGGAACCTGAAAAAGTACTGCCGCTTGGCCTGGGCAGTTACCTCGCCCATGCTTTCATCTGCAACGAATGTTGAGTACCCGGCATCCAGTCTTGTGTACCAATAAATATAGACTACAACCGTGGGCGTTAGGCACTTTGGGTAAATATCCACAACTTCCCAACTAAAACCCTAAGTTGGCGCGTGCATCAAGGGTAAACGCAACCAAGATGTCGAGGCTAGCATGATAGCTTCATGCACACTCCCGCACTTGAGGAATAGGAACCAATAGTTCTAATATGAAAAGGGGTACACGAGCAAAGCGCACTTGGTGCCGACTGCTGTACACTGAGGAGTCTCGGCGGCAAGCAGTCTGGAACACGATGGCGTACTCTCCAATGGGGAAAACGAAGGTAGTATATAGTGAAACATGAGGTATGTGTGCCGTGGACAGTATGACGGGGTCATTGTATTGGTGGTTGACTGTCAGATACAAGCTATCCTCCATCTTGCAAGATGAAGAATTCACTGAAAAAAAGACTTTGGAGTAACTCTGGTAGCAGCGAGGATTATTTATACCTGGACCTCACTCCAGGGTCTGAATCATGATCGCCCTCCTCCACGTCATTGACTGGTATTTGAAATTGGCACCTAAATATTGGAAGCCTAGATTGGGAGTAATGGAATAACAGACATATATAGCTAGAGGAGCTAGGTGTAAACGAGAATCTCTTCCAGAAAATACACCTGACAATAGTTCCTCAAAAGCACTTAGCCTATAAGATCCGACTTTAGTCTCAGGTGGAAAGGGGGCAATCCATTGTTCCCACAAAGCGCATTTCATGGTATATCTTTACCACAATACATACCTAGATTGCCGCTATTGGTGATCTGACCATCAAAATTACCAATACAAAATTTATAGTCAGCAGAGTGAAATAACTTTGTAGATGAACACCAAAATCAATACTTAGGCACAAGTGGTGCGTGTAATAATGGCTGCGATTCTGAGGTAACAGGAGCGATATGACATACATGGAAAAAGACAATATACCAAAAGGATGCCTGTGGAGGTTATGATTGGCGGATGAAAGGAGCTGTCTGCATCAGAGCTCTGACTAGGAATTGAAACATCGAATTTTGCATATAAAAAGTAAACATGTACTCACATTGCTCTTGCCATCCACCACAACTGGTATTCTGCAATTCGGATATGGAATGTTCGAATGTTGGATTCCTCTGAATGCTACCCCACCGTTGGAAATTCCAAAAAGAGTGAAGAAATGTTGGCGCCGAGCACGGCGTGCATCAATGACACAGATCTATTTTATACTACAGCTTCAGTACCCAGACGTACAAATTGAGGTATGTATGTATGTTATACTTTTCTCAAACTATCTGCTATGATTCGAGCCTAAGAATCCTAGCCAGTGATATCTACGCCGTTAAAGTGACATACACAGCTAATTAATATTAAGAACCATGGTTCGTTATCGACTTCTTGGGAACCAGTCTGAAGATTTATGTGCCTTGACATCAGATTAAGCCTCCCTAGTGCTGAGTATAAGTAAGTACCAAATGGAAATCATTCGTAATCCCTAGTGACATTTCTTCTGCCCCGCTCAAGGGCCTGAGAGTAAGGTCCAACATGCGAAGCGCTTATATTTTCGAAGAATTGTTCTAAATTGCGTCAAGTAAAGGAGGGTTTAGTGTTCCTCCTAAATTGCTTGACCGA